GAACCCGACTTATAGAAGACCTGCTAACACCTAAGTGTTTTGCAATTTTTCGAGTTGATAGGCCTTCTAAATTTTTTCAACATATTTTTTGAATTCAACAAAAAATGTGCATAATTTTTTTATTTATATTAGCCACCTGATTTTAAATTATACAGTATTATATCAATTTTTATTGAATTTATTTTTCGGCTAATTTTTTATAGGTGTCTCAGGAATAATGAAAACAGTTGTAATTCTTTCCTGTAGTTCCCTAATCCCAGTTTAACTGAACCTTTTTATCTCATATATATAAATTCAACTTTTCAAATATTTTTACTATCAGCACGTATTCTTACCATTACTTTAGACTCCTTTTTACTCGCGATACTATCTTTATTTCTTTTTTACCTTCCTTAATGCTTCTTTTACTTCCTTATCTAATGTTGTCCTCTACTTTACCAAATACATCTAACTCACTGCATTAACACAACGCTTTATCTTGTTATTTATATTAACTATTTAGTACACATGGATATTACTAAATATAGTGTTATTCATGCCAACAAGGTTGCTGGTTATGTGTAGATTAAGGAGTATGGAAAAGAAACAGAAGTCAACTAGTAAATAAATATCTTAATTAGTCTAAACATCAAAATTTGATTTCAAAATCATTTTTATGAATAGAGTTGCACGGATCTTAAAGACATACAAATATCTATACAATATAATCTATTGCTAAGGAGACGGAAAAGTTGGGTATTCTAAATTAGTTGAATTTCTCTTCCGATTTCATCAATCTCTTTTACCGATTCTTCTAGCTCCAGTCTCGTCATCTATAAGCTGTGAATGAATTGAAGTACAGATTCCTCATCCACTGGTTTGTAAGAAATTTTGAGATCATAGACCTCACGAACTCTGCATAATGGGTGTCCTTGCTGATCCATAATGAAAACTCTAAGCTTTGTACCTTTCAATATGAAATAAATTAGGATTTAGTTAATTTCTTCGAAGCAATATTAGTTATCATTTTATTAAATTTAAACTTACTGTATGCTTGAATAAGAAATAAATTTATGTTGCATAACCATCTTTGAAATTTATTATAATTGACTACTGATAAATATTTAGCATTTTCTGAAATAAGCTTTGTTTCCATCATTATTTTAGAGTCATGTCCAAATCGGAAAAGTTTGTATCGATCAGTATGAAATTTATCAGTATCAATTACAAAGGGACCACCGGAAGTTTCTTCAAATAAAATTTCCTGGATAGTCCCAGCAACTTCTATAAGAAACCAAAAATCTGGTTTTCTTGCATAAGATACTTTTCTAAATGCAGAGGCAAGCGAACTTGATTCACCTCTAATAATTCAATAATAATATATTGAGCTATTTATATAGGTAAAATAATATAAATATAAATTAAATAATAATTACCATTTACGAAAACAGTTTTCACCCAATTTATGCGTAATGCTATTTAGTATAGAATCCAAAACCAATCGATTCCATGTGCCTTCTAAACAATGACTTTCTTTAATATCTTCATCCCACAAAGAAAATCTATATAAAAATTAATAAAAAATTAAAAGAATTTTAAATTCAGTTCTTGAAATATAATAAAGTATATACATATGCTTGCAAATATCCCGCATGAAAATATAGAAGGTCAGTTCTCTATCATCATTATTTATTTGTCCAAAATCATCGTATTGCCATCTTTTTTGATCACTATAAAATTTTTCAAATAAATATCTAAATTTTATAGGAAGATCTAAAGTATATCGATTAGGAATGCATGCTATTTTTTCATAAATTTCAGGTCCGATATAAGGTGTTCTCAAGCACCTCAATCAAGTGATCAGAAGCAAAATTTTAATTATCGGAAGTTAAATAAATGAATTAAATGAGTTACCATTCCGATGACAAAATCAGGGAGACACAAACCACCTTTTTTCTTCAAAAA